CCTATGCACGTACCTCTACATTATAAAGAAAACCGTTTCGAAACTGGATATTTCTTGAAAGACTTCCCTGGTTAAGTTCTTACAGTGTGCTTGGATTTCTTTCTTCTCTATGGCACCACCTGCTCCCCTTTCGTTCGTATTTGAGCAACAACGAACTACCATATTCGCACCCTTCAAAGGTTCATAGCCGTCCGCCGACCATGTGCTTCAGTTCCTCGTTGTTCATTTGGAAACCGTCCTGAGGTCGGTCGCTATCTTTGGGTAAGATCACTGTTAATCTGCAGTTGAGTCGCTGAAGATTACGTCTTTTCCTAATTCTGGATCTACTAGAGAAGCCCGTCCTCAAACGCCCCGTAAAACTCCAGCGCACATCATTTCGACAATTCTGAGGAATCAATAAATTCACAAACCTTCAGATGGGTTTTCACGGATTTCGTTTGCTCCACCCCTCAACTTTTCTAGTGCTCGAACGTAAAACTCCTAATGAATGATCCAATGATCATGGAGAATCAGGAGAGACCTGCCCCATTACAGGTTCGACCTCAAAAAGCCCATGTTACCTCATATTTTAGTGTCACGACAATTTCCCTATCTTTTTTTTCTGCACTACCGGCGACATCAAACCTCCGACCGCTATCGTTTTCTCGCTGAATCATCGCATCTAATGGCTGCAAAATGCGCTTTTAGCTGAATAAGTAGTGGCGCAATCATACAAAGTTTGCTTTGCTTGGATGCTAACGTAGGAGTCTACTATGACGGCAGAGATACAGTCGATCCCGCGAAGTCAAATTTGGCGTGTCTATGGATTTGACGTGGCCGTTGCCGCACTTGATAGAAGCCGTGTGGATAGGCTGTTTCTAACATACTCCGTTGGATATCAGCAAAGCATGCTGGAAGCAGTTTATCCGCGCAACTGCGACGTCCGCCGTGTCGAACCCATAGACAGGCCCAGGCCTAATCTGTCTTCGAGATATGGAGTATAACTCCCATTCACCTGTTAATGTAGCTTCGCTAGAAGTCAATGATTGATATGAGATCACTACTACAGCATTTCACTTATAAGCTGTCTGTGAAGAGTGCTAAGTCATTTCATAGTCTGAGGATGAGTGCATCGTTTGATTTCCATGGCAAAAAAGCCCTTGTCACCGGAGCCAGTCAAGGTAATACCGCATTCTTGATCAAACGTAGAATTATCGGAAACGAATATGCACGCAAAGGAAGTGAGACCTTAAAGGCACAACCCAGGGAGAAGTTGTGTGAAAGACATGGCCGTTCCCTTCGGCATGTGGGATAGACCTTTGAAGGGCAGTCATACAAGTGGCACTCCGCACGGAAATCAACGACAAAACGGCAGGGCCTTGCAAAGTAAGCTGCTTTAGTTGCATTTTTTAACAAGCTGTTGTGAAGCGCCTTTTCAGCTATTGCGCTATCTCGCCTCATTCTCTCCTCTCTGTGCCGAGTCTCTTCTTACCTTAGCACAGCCAATTACGAAGGTGAGGGAGCCTTACACCTAGGTCTTTTTGAGGGGTACGTACTCTTCTTCTTTTCTTCCTGCCCATTTCGCACCATTACATTACCATTTGCGTGCAAAAAACGAGGGGCTTCCCCATCAATGTCTGATGTCTGTGTGTATGCATCAGCAAAAGACTATGAGAACGATTCAGTTATTCTCACGAATTCTAGCCCGGTGCTTCCGCGGACCGAAACAAAGCGAAGGTGTCCACGCCGTGATCGTGGACTGCGATAATAGCGAATCACTACATTCGCAAAGGCTGACACCCATCTAATTGGAGGCACTGGGGAGGTTGGGTGGGGCATCGCTGTGTCGACTGAGCTCAGAAGGAATGCAGGATATACTAAAAAAACTTCGCTTATATACCCCCTCTTGTGTTAGTCTTCTCCTAAAGCTTACTCTTAGGAAGGTGCCTGGGTAGGGGGATGTTGGCTGTGTGGGCTCTCTTCATAATGGCGTATCACCCGACGACACCAGCGGCATTCTAAACATGATGTGACACATGATTATGCATGCATTTCCTCAGTGTTTCTTACATTATATGTTTCTTATTTTCGCTTAAATTGCGCTCCAACTATCGCAGGTCGGTGTGTTTTGGACGATGGACCATTAGATGTCAGGATTTGGTCAGCTGAATTTCGCTCTCTACATCTATAACTTGGGGTGATTCATACTGTCGTACTTTTCAAGGAATCGGTTACGGTCTCGCGTTAGCACTTGCGCATGCCGGCGCCACTGTGGTGGCTTTAGATAGAAATGGATCGAAGCTCGAGGATCTACGTAAGAAGGTACTAATTTAAATATCCTTACTATTATATAAAGCGCTAACTTTGTGTGTCGGTTTGTGTGTATCTGTGTGTGTGTGTGTGTGTGTGTGTGTGTGTATGTATGTGTGTCCGTCCGCAAAATGAAGTGAGTGAGAAGGAAGCTCATGGGATAAACAAACCGCTAACAAATCGGGTAGCTTACAGGATTTGAGATATCAATGTTTTGTAGCAGGATAGTTGTGATAACACTCTTAGGGCTATATAAACACCTGCTTAGCACACTTCCGTTCATTCCACATGGTGCTGCAGTGGCAGCTGGAGGGCAGTGGAGAGAGGAAGGGAGGATGAGGAAGGGAAGCGAAAAATCTACCGTCATATCATGATTGTGTCCCTTCTACTGTTTGAAACACCATTGTGTTGCATACGCGTCACTTCCACGAGGTGTTGGTGTCACAGGAGGAAGGGACCATAGCGGAGGATAGAAAGCTTGCGCAGGAAAGGAAGGTCCCGGCGGTTGACGGGGGACTAATCTGGTATATATATATATATATATATAATATATATATATATATCCCTACTATATATAAAACGCTATGTCTGTCTGTACGTGTGTGTGTGTGTGTGTGTGTGCGTGTGTCACGAAATTCATAGCACGCGTCGCAGCAGTCGTTAGGAGCTGATTTTTTGATATGATATAGTGGGTGGGGCGTAACATATTTGGTGGGGGTTACAAAGTGATAACGACTGATAAGAGCAGATAAGAGGCGCTGAAACACAAATTTCACGAAATATGTAATGCGCTTCGCAGCAGTCGTCAGGAGTTGATTTTGGGACATGGTATAGGGGGTGGGCGGGAACATATTTGGTGGGGGTTACAAAGTGATAACGACTGATAAGAGCAGATAAGAGGCGCTGAAACACAAATTTCACGAAATATGTAATGCGCTTCGCAGCAGTCGTCAGGAGTTGATTTTGGGACATGGTATAGGGGGTGGGGCGGGAACATATTTGGTGGGGGTTGCAAAGTGATAACGACTGATAAGAGCAGATAAGGGGCGCTGAAACACAAATTTCACGAAATATATAGTGCGCTTCGCAGCAGTCGTCAGGAACTGATTTTGGGACATGATATGGGGGTGGGACGGTAACATATATTGTGGTTTTCAAAGTTGATAAGGCAGCTGACGATGATAGTAATGATATGCGTACGAACGTAGAGATCACTCGAAACCAGATTGCAGATAGTGCATTTCATTTCAATATCATTTCATTAGCGTTATAATTGTAAACTCAAACACCTTTCGACCGCTGCACCTTCTCGAGTTCTTGAGGATGAATGAGATGCTCGAATAAATACGATAGTGAATACTGGGCATTCTAATTTGAGATCATCAAAAATTATTCGACCGCTAAATTACCTCGATACTCGATGCATGGTGGTTGTTTACATACATCACTTTAGCTGTGCACTTCACTGCGCTTATCAAACAGTGAGATACAGCCAAGATGAGCAACGGACAGTAATGCATTTAAGGAAGCAGCTATAGTTAAGCGGTGAGACCCAAAGCTTCACCGATTCTCAGTCCTATCAAAGGCTTCCGTGTTCATGCGCGCGGTAGCGGGCGGAGGCTAACTGGTTATATATACTATTATATATATATATATATATACCAGTTTTGCTTCGCCCGCTATCGCGCGCATCACACGGCAGGCTTTAGCGAAACTGGAGGACCCATGGAATATCAGCATGAGATACTCCATTAACCATCTCACTATTGAATGTGTTAGACCCTCCACAGTTTCGCTGAAGCTCATCGAGAATACGCGTGATAACGTCTGGAGCTGAACTGGTATATTGATCACAACTGTAAACATCCAGCATTTTTCTTGAATTAGATAACTTAGCGGTTTTTTTTTGTGGGAACATTAAGGTGAAAGCCTGATAACTGCGAATCAGTTTCATGAAGCAAAAATGAATTTCAACGAAGAAACACGGGGTGGCTGTATCATTTTTGAACATAGGAAAATCGACCTCTTCTGAAAAAATAAGCACAAAATTTTTTAGTGTTTTCGACATGGATTTTTGTGTTGATATCTGAAATTTGTCACACTTTCTATCTGGACACTTCTTCAGAGACGCGTAAAATGCGTAGTGATGTTTGGTATTTACAGCATGACAACGTTACCATAGTTGTTGCCGACGTCACATTATCGGAATGGGCCTTGGCATCAATTTTGGCACCTCACCAACCATTTCACTTTCTCTTGAATAACGCAGGAATATCAATACTTGAATCGTGTTTGACAATCAAAGAGGAATCCTTGGCAAGGTGTGTCTCAGCTGATAATTTTACCATGGACTAGTAAAGTGTACTATTTTAGGCACATTGACGTGAACCTGAAAGCTCCTATTCTTCTCGCAAAGATTGTGGCAAATGAGATGATACGACGCTCGATTCGCGGTGTTATTGTGAATGTTTCTTCACAAGCGTCTAAACGACCACTGAAGGATCATCTGGCATATTGTAAGTTACCGTCACCAGTCTCATTGATTGTGGCTTCCCGGCAGTTACTGGGTCTCTTAAAGGCAAAGGTCGGGCTCAGGCACGCTAGAGAAGTAATTCCCGTGCCTGGAGGTTGTATGTGGGTAGCTGCACACATTGCAGCAACTTCCCACCTTGAAAAACCCCGTTAAGGCCCCGGGGCGTTCGGTTTCAATCCAGGGCCGCCTGGTCAATCCAGGACCCCACCTCCGGAAGTGGTGCGTGGCTGGCATAACGTGTGAAATCAGCTAGGTTGATTGCCGTATCAACCGATAGAACGACTGACATCTCCAGAAAACTTGTTTGTACGTGCCTCTTTCCCAAGCCAGCCTCCTTCACTGCTAGTGGGAAAGAGGGTTTGTTAACGGCCTTGTCGACGGTTTTTCTCAGTTTTTTCTCCACTGTCGTTCCACTTCGCATCTCTATACTCAGTTTCAATCGCCATAATACCCCCTTATTGAGCCCGACTTTTGCCTTTAACACGTTGACGACATCGCGCGTTTTGGCTTTTTTGCCGCGTGGGACCAGAGCGATTTTGCGAGCGCCGCCGCCTCACATCAAATCCATGGATTTTGAGCTGTAAATACGCAATACTTAGATGCGACAAAGTGTTTTCAATAATGTTCGATCTGTCTAACTTATCGGGAGTAACAGTAATGGTAACTTGACTAAAATGACGTGTTGTGGCCATAAGGAGGTGGTTTCTTCTTACTTTCGCTTTTGTGGTTAAAAAACTATTGTGATTGTTTCAGTGGAAACATATATCTTGCCACACGAATAGGTTTGTGTTCACTTCTATTATTCTTTTTATCTACATGTTCGTGTTAATGAAGAGAAAATGAGGAATGAACTGAACGGATATTTTCGTCCGGTCCGAAAAACCTCTGCCAAACTAAAGAATATTTGGTCATTCTGTAAGCCACGTGGTTCTTGGTTATGTTGTGGTATGGCCTATAAAATGAACACAAAAACTTGGGAAGAAACGGGCATGTGCGCAAAAAACAAATGTGATGGGCGTGACATAGTACATGATTGCCACAATGCCCTACGAGGTACATCCTATTAGACATCCCACTGCGCGATACTTTGCCCACATCACAGATGAACATGCGTTCCTTTGTTCAACACTGGGGACTGCCCTTTTTGACAGAGGTGTGAAAGTTTTTCAGGCGTCACCAAAGCTGGTCTGGATATGGCAAGCAGGTGTTTCGCAAAAGAGCTTGGAGAACATGGAATTCGAGTGAATAACGTAAATCCGACCGTTGTGATGACGGAAATGGGAAAAATGGTAATATGTGTGAATTTTGAGCTAACGCCTTCATGAAGACCAGCTATTATCAGTCGTTATCAGTTCCTATCACATACCACTTGAGTCCCCATCCCACCCCCTATAACATATGTAAGAACCATGGCGCTATCGTTGCTGTGACCCGAGCTACGAATTTCGTGACAAACACACACACACAGACCACACACACAGACATACTTAGCGAATTATATATAGTAGGATATTAGTGGTGTTCAAATGACCGCATTAGAAGGTCTTTTTGAAGTTCACAATGATT